AAGGAGGACACTCTTGAGCGCAGCAAGAAGCAAGAGAGTGGCACAATGCAGTTGGTGTACGACTCTAAGAAGACCTCTACCTTGAAGTCTCCATACAATGTGTATCAATTCCTTGTCGCCAATGGGGAAGAGACATACTCAAACTTGTCAAGTTGGTTCAGCCAGAGCAAGTTCCACGATCATTTGTCTGCGCTAAACAATCTAAAGACCTATGTAAGTGACATCGAGAAATAGTATATATATATATATATATATATGTTAACTACTGTTGTTTATTGATTGAATGATCATCACTCACTCACTCATTCACACTCACTCACTCACTTTTTTGATGATTATGTAACTAACTTAATAATTTATTTATTTAATATTTAGAATTACAAAGACAAGATATACAAACCAATAGTTATATTAGTTGTTGACATGGTTTGTCTTTGTATCTTGGCCGGACTCTATGCTGTTTATAAGTCGGTGAGCAACTTTAGATGTGTTTGGTGCATGATCAAGAAGGGTGACATGGCTCGCATCCTTGTGCCGGCGGTCGACCCAGAGGGCGCACGACCAAGAGTAATCCCTCAACGGAAGCCAACAGGACCGGCGAGGACCAACGGTGGATACAACAACGATCCATTGATCACATGTATCCCAACGAGTCATATGGTACCAGATCTTCTCCATGTCCTGGTTGCTGTCGTCAGAACCTTTGTCAAACATCATTTCAAATGGCTTGAGACATGGCTGAACATTGAGGTGGATGGTAACAGAGTTGGTAAGCGAGTGAAGGATATGCTGTTGGCAGTCATGGCTCGGCTTGGTCCCAAGATACCTCCAAACAGTATGAAGCCAAGTGAGTCCAAACCTACATCGCTCGTTGCCCGTTGGGAATCAACCAGAGTGAAGTTCCAGGCTGCCATTGACATCATCCTTCGTCGAAACGATATGTTCAATATTGAAGACCTGTTGATTGGAGAGACTGAGGTGCTGAGGATCAAGTACCATGAATACAAAGTGCGTGCCCTTGACACCTGGCACATGCTACATCATTTCTTCTCGACCATGATCGATCCTGGAACAGCACCAGCTATACGAACTCAAAACAGACCTGCTGCGCAAGCAATTCCCACTCCTGCTGATCCAACTCCTGCTGCTCCAACTCCTGCTGATCCGACTCCAACTCCTGCTGCTCAATCCCTTCCATTATTCGATAGGGGTGTATGGTATTCCCATGCTTACATATTTGCCAAGTTGTCCATCGAGATCTATGGTCCAAGCATCATCACGTCCTACGTTCATTGCCTCTGCCATCACGTGCCTGAAGCCATTTATTTGTTCGGATCGCTTGACCGCCTCATCAACATGGCACCAGAAGGAAGGCACTACGCCAATAAGTTGGTATTGGAACGCAATGCCAACGGTACCATTTATGGCGTAGCCGAGTTGTGTCAAGTGCAGCTGAAGCGCGGTAACGTCATCACGATGGTGTCTTATCAAACAGACCAATACAAGAACCTTCTCAATGGCACCAACTCTCGCAACGTCACCTACAAAGCGAGAATGAACGTGAGAAATCCAAGTGTGTTCGACAAGTACAGAGCAACACATGGCATGACCACAAGCTCGTCGGACAATTCCCACCATCCATGTCCAAGCGACAATGAGGAGGAGTACGACGAGGAGTACAATGATGATATGTATGAACATGGACAGGCTGCCCACCAGAGTGATGACGAGGATGGAGGCGACGAGACGGATGATGAGCCACACTACGAGTCGTACGGTGGTGGTGGTGGTGGTGGTATGGACAACAGTGATGGCGAGCAAACACAGACCGGTACCATTGAACATGCGCATGTTCCAATGATGGAGGATGTGCCACAGTTGCAGGACACATTGATGAACACACACTATTACAATGATGGCGACAAAGTCTATGCGATGTCGATTGAGGTAGACGTTGGAACCTGGTGGCCTGGCACAGTCAAGTCATCTGATTACGATGAGCACAATGAAGTGATGTCGTATGTTGTCAAATTCGATCAAGGAACAGATAGTCAGTTGACTGTACAAGAGAACGTGTGCATTGCCACTGCCTACACTCAACAAGATGACAGCAGGATCGAAGGAGCCGACGTTCTTGTCTTCATCTATGACAATGGAAAGACTGGGCGATTCTACAGAGGAACAGTGGAGAAGTTTAAGCTACAGCGACGCAAGAGGACCTTTGAAGTGTTAATGTTACCTATTGGTAAAGATGGAGTACTTGACAGATTGATGGATGAGTACAACAACATCCAAGATAGGTTATGTGGTCTGTCACGTTCTGGCATCACATTATCCAACGAAGCTGAGGCCAAGTATAACAATGACCTCACAGAGTTGGAAAGACAAATCACAAAGTGCCGCAATAGACAAACACCAAGATATAGAGTTGGCAGAGAGGACACAAGATGGATACATTGGTGCGACAACATGACAAACATATTTATAATTCAATAAATGTGATGTTGATCGATTAACAATGATAATCATTGTATGATATTGATTGATTGACTGATTGATTAGTATGACATAGAGTTCGAGCAATTAAGGGTGAACAATTAGAACACAAGGTGAAATAGTAATGAGAAGGCTTGTATTATGATTATTTGAGTTGGAACGAGTCGAGTTATAATGATCATTCCTTATGAGAGACAGTTGCTCTGTCGATGGCTAAAAATGCTGTTACTGATGCTGTTTCGTCTTTCTTGTGTGCTGATAATCTGTATAGTCTACTTGGTATCATATTATATTTAAATATACATATTATATCTATCAGTAAATGAATAATAATGTTTGAGCAAACATGTTGAACTTTGTCAAACACTCATTCATTCACTCAATCACTCTCCCACACACACCCACACACACACACCGAATCAAAACTTAATGACAAACTTAAGCGGATAATTTGTAGTGAAGTAGTATCTAATTATAATGAGAAATAGTTGGTTAGCATTGATAACCTAGAGCAGTGTTCCTTGAGACATTACCTTGTGTGTGTCTTTAAACAGTTGTATTGTTCTTCAGATATAAGATCACGGAGGAGATAGAGACTACACATGGACAATTGAGTGATCTCTCTGGCGACGAAACTTTCAAGATAGGCCAAACGTAGTGATCCTTTGAGCAAGCTATACCTCCGATGTACTTTCACCCACTGTTGCGTGTCTAGTCCACCAAACACCATGATGAGCTCACGCTTCATATTGCCTGTCATTCAAGATATTAACATGTTAGTTCATATGCATGCAATATAGTAATTGTCTGATCGTTGACTTACCCAGTGTTTCCACATGCATCATCTCTATGGGTATTTGAACGACAGGGTCGATATCTAAATATAGAAGGAATGCTAAAGGTTGTGTGTTAGTCTCTAATGATTGATGTTGCTTGCTTGTCCACACTACCTCACTCTATTCAATCAATCAATCAATCAATCATACATATACTTACAAGGATGTTGATAATGGATGGCAAGCTTCTCGCAACGAGTCTTGAACTCTTGTGTTCTCGAATCGAGGGTGCCATGCTGCAGTGCATCAGAGTAATCATTGTGGTAATCGATAACCTTGCTCCACTCACGAGGGTGGTAAGATGGTTGGGTCGATACTATCATTGCCAAAGGTAATTCACAAAATCGGCAAGGACTGGAACTGGTGTAAGAGTTGAAACACAACAGTGAGTATGCCTCTGGTGAGTCTGCTACTATCCTCATCAGACGAGGATAAAGAACCTTGCCACTATGTTGGATGCCAGTCTATATTACAGTACGTTTCCTAAGTTATGGCCACCCCCTGAGCAAACAGATAGGTGATTGATATCTCTTCAATATTAAGAGATACCAAATGATATCTTATCTCTCTAAATAATAGACTCAATTATCTACTAATCTTGATTGAATTACTTATTGCTACAGTACGTTTCATAAGTTATGGCCACCCCCTGAGCAAACAGATAGGTGATTGATATCTCTTCAATATTAAGAGATACCAAATGATATCTTATCTCTCTAAATAATAGACTCAATTATCTACTAATCTTGATTGAATTACTTATTGCTAGTTATATTTATTTACAAATAATTGAATGAGAGTGTTGAAATGATAAGTAGTGAACATGGCCATTATTTATGCAACGAAAATTGATCGAAGGTATCGGAACGATGAACTAGAATAATGACAAAGGAGGTTGTCAATATTTGGTCCACCATCCATTCGCTGTTATAATGTCCTCCATTCGTTGTGGCAAGGAGGCGTATAGGTTCTCAACAATGCTGTCATCCATTAGCTCCCATTGTTCATTGGCAAGGTCGGAAAGGACCACTCCAGGGTTCTTTGCCAGCTCTCTCTTGACTCTCTCACAACAAATTAATCGTGGAGGTGTCCACGCATACAACTCCTGTGGGAGATTCATCGACTTAGAGTCGAATTCATTTTTGTGCGGCAGGTTTGGCAACTGAGTGTGCGGGCCGCAATGACCAGTTGTATGAGCGATAAGATTATTCTTGCATTTATTTGAATTATTTTGTATTGAGTGTGTTGTTGATGAGATCAAAGTCTGAACAGTGTGTTCCATTTGGCATCGTGATGAACATTGATTACAGATATATATATGGTAATACTCTTCTTCAGTATCCTTCTCTTCTTTGTTACTCTTCCAGAGGCAGTAGATATGTGACCACAACTCTCGTCAACAATGCGACCAGTGTAGTACTTGGAGTCATAGAACACCAGCACATCCATTCCTAAGCAAACGTCATCGTCTTGTGTCAGCTGTATCTTGTTGATTAGCCGCAGTCTCTCAACTCGAACGAGTTCAGTTTCTTCAGACGTACGATACTTCCTATGGTTGTACTTGACGACGTAGTTGGGATAGTGATCATAGACGATGACTCTTTCCCATCATGTATCCTTGTCTCCTTCATGGTTCGTCTGAGCGAGCACCTTCATGCCAGCTTGGAACAGATTCAGAACAT